TCTGTGAGATGGAAAGCCTGATGTAGAATACTTTTTATACATAGTAGATAGATTATTTTTTGCTTATTATACTTTCTATCTGCTAACACCTTCAACGTGTGAGTTTTAGATCGCAATCAGGCAACGATGTGTGTCCCAAATAAGCAGGTGGAGGAAAAACTATGGACAAAGAGCGTATATATGGATTTTATAAGACAAGGATGAATGTGGTCAATGAACTATTTGTTTATGCTGTGGTGGACTAACTTGTACTTTTGTAATCACAATCAGGACACTGAAGAACTCATGGGAGACACAGGAGTGCTGACGAGCAAGCAAACCTTGGAGCATTAGGTGGTTCAAAATCAGTGATTACCTTATTCTGGGGTTCGCCAAGTTTTCCATTGCACCATCAAGGCCCTTACTCGGCCCATCTTTATCCGTGATCCAACCTAATCGGCGGTTATCAGCGATCACCATCCGTATACGGTATTGACCTGGGGTGCACACATCGATGTAAAGTTCAGCTAATGCGAATCAGTGATTGAAATCAAAATTTCAACTTTACTTTATACTGTACACCTTGTCGCTAAAATGAGAATTGGAGAATAAACGAAGTTGAAATCACAGACGATAGTTCGCCTCATCTTAGCAAGGAACCCTCAGCTTATCCAAAGGAATCAAAAAATAGCATGATGCCAAACTAAGTCGACTATCGCAGAGTTTTATGAGATGGTAGGCATCGTTTTGCCAAAAATTAAAAAGAGAAGAGATGTGAGAAAATTTCGGCGATTGTTATGCTCGTAGAATGAGCAAAGCTGGATTTCACGTTTGGCCTAGAGTGTTCTAAAATAGCCTAAATGTGTGGAGATCTTACTAGTACGTTCTTGATTTGGTCAAAGATCATAACGAAAAAACCGTATCTGAATGAATGTCTAAAAATCACAGTACCGAAAACTTTGTTCATCTGCAGATTCCGCAGCCATTTGAGAGTGACCTCCCGAACTGAACATCCCCTCAATTTATATAATGGAGTTCTCCTTGTCGATGTTCTACATGAAGATTTCTCGCTGCGTGTCAATTTTCACTAGGATTTTTCTATGCATAGCCCATACAATCATCATTTGCTTCAGATATTGTAAGTAGTAGTCACAAAAGAATATTGTGCGATTTTGATGTCAAAAGATAATTCAAAGAATGGTCTTTATTTACATGGTAAAGAAAAACATCCTTCATTTAATGTGATTTTTTATAAAATTCTCGTGTAATCGTGTAAATGTATCCACGGCAGATTGTTTTGGCTGCCGTCCTGATGATGTCACGGAGGCATGTGATAGGGTATAAAAAAGCAGCAAAGTAAAATTTCTCATGAGCCCACAATGTACCCTTGATTGGACGCCTACTTCATTTTCTACGCTAGAATAGAATGTGAAGTGGAACCACAAGAAGGTTGTAACGCGATAAAAAAACATGAATCTAATTCATGTGAACTGAACTCGACATACATCGAACCTTTTTGTGGCATCGTGCGTTTTGCACTACACTATCGAGGTCTTCGCTCTGCTTTTCCCTCAGTCGTCTTTTGGCCGTAAGCACGGGGTGTCAGGAACGACCAGTCAACGGAATTGATCATAAAATTTCGTTAGAATTAATGTCTCCAAGAGTTATTTCAAAACTGGTAACGACTCCTTTCTAGCCTTGCATTAATCATGCAATTACTAGAATTTTCATGAGCCATAACATTGCTGGTCAGTAGGTAGCTGCATTAATCGCTATAACAGAATAACGTTATACATCACAAAATTAAGCTTGTGAAAGTAATGGAAATAAGCTGCCCAACTCTTGCATCATTTCAGGACATACCTGTGGTATCATTATGAACAGGGACGATCCACTCAATGCTCCGATACCAAGTGCAATGAGAAAGATCATAATCCGTTCGTAGAGTTCTTTGCTGAGAAACGGCAATGCTAGCATTCCTAATGGTGCAGAAAAGGAACACGCTGACACTATTATCATCCCAAGAGTCCATGCTGAAAACCAGCTGTTAAGGAAAAATGACAATGAAATTTCAGTACAGCAGCTATAAGAGCCGAAATTCCATATATTGCTGCTTTAATATTTCCAGAACACAAACTAAGAGGTATCCCGCGTCTCAAATTGTGCGTCTCCATGTAACGCTTTTCTACGAAGTTCCAAGGAACTTGTTTAAGGGAGTTCTAGGTCAGATAGAACTGTTGATATTTTCTTCGATTACATTTCTTTTAGAACATAGACAGTTCACAGCATTGACCCGAGTGAGACCTCTGAGCTGATGAAAATGTACTATACGCTGTTGTTCAACATCGAAATAAAAGTCTGAAGAGAGGAAGAGGAAGAAAAATTGTGTGCATGAAACTTTCAAATTCTTACTATGATAAAAGCTTAGAGTCAGTAGGAATTTGAAAGTAATTAGTTGTATTTATTACCATTTCTACATTTTGATATTGCGTGAACTTGAATTGAGTGGCCCACAACTAACCTATATTTCTTATCTATCCCGTTCCCATCACCCCTATGATCATTACGCACTATGGATATGTTCTGACGGTTATAAGTATGATTTTATGGTGTATAAGTCACCTGGAGCTGAGTTACGAAACGAGAGGTAAACAGAAGCAAAAAAAAAACATGACTAAACAATCTGAGAGGCTTTGATGAACTACTTGGAATCGTATCATAAATCTCATTTCTCAGTTACTGACATCTTTTCTTACTGACCAGTACGTAATTTTTATGTGTGCATCCACTTGAGCGCTAATTACATTTTACACAACATCCCTATGACCGACGTTCTATCAAGCTCGGTATTGACAAAATACTTCACTGTTTTTTGATGAGCAAACACGGGGTTACTAACACCAGATTTATTCAAACCAATTCACGTTTTGGCGGTTTTACCTTGATCAGAGCCTGAAAAGATCAAATTGGACGCAATCAACTTTATCTAACGCTTTCTTAATCTGAGCAAAAGAGGCTTGACGCACAGAGTTATTCTGTGTCAAATTTTTTCTGCTGACATTACGAAAGTGCTCGAAACAGTAGAATGTTTGCCCATATAACCTTTGTAGGCTCCAGAGAATATCGTTAGATAAGTCGAAATTTGTGGGAAAAATATAGAAAGCGGTTGTGTAGCATAAATTCCACGCTATAGGTGCCAGTAGTAGTTAGTTAAGAATTCAATGTGAACCACTTGAAGAGTGGATTGTACGAGTTTTATAGCTTCAATATGCTGTTCCCTGTGCGGTTCTATATTTATATTTTCAAGCTCACCGAAACTTCTAGTACGCTACATATGCTTTATTGAATTCAGAAAATACCCTAAGTGATCTGTTGACCATGTCAAAGGTTGTCCTTGATTCCTGCCCCAATTCATGCATCCAGTCCTTATTCTAGTGTCCTAAGATCCCAAAAACGTACAAAAGGAATTCTTCTATAATACACCTTTCGGCATTATCGAGTAACCTCATTATCCAATGGTTTTGGGATAAACATCTTCAGCGAGATAGTATTATCTTGTCGAATTGCTTTTGCGATACTATCGTACAAGTTCGACTATGAAATTAGGTTCTTCTGGGTGGTTGCGATACCTGTCGGGTCTTAGTTTCATGTAAAATGAGTCATAAAACGGATGCTCACACAGTGGATTTACAAACAGAGGAAAAAGTGATTGTAGAAGAAATTTGAGGAGATAAAGGAAAAAGATTTTTGTGATCCTTGTTCTGTTTTTCCCAGATTTTCATCAAAGCCTTACCATACAAAACTCCATTGCTTTCTCGTTCAGAAAAATAAAAAACCATCCAATAGTTCAAATCAAATAACAAGGAAGATGCCTCCAATTACCGCCCTCCACCATCCAATTGTATGTGTGCTTGTATAATTTTGTTTGAAAACGAGCGACTACCCCCAATAATGGTGTAATCGTGTGGAGAGCAGAGTGATGGTTTTTAAAACTTAAAACAACATCTATCTTATGATCAGTAGATAGGAATCATAAGAATAACAGAATGTACACATACACATATACATGCAAAGACATCGAGAAGATAAGCATCACCGAAAAAAGCAATAAATCGTGTCGGTTTCACAAAGCACAATCACCGCGATAATTCCCACTGCACAGCAATGTTTCATGGAAAACAGAGTTGAAAACCTTAATTTTGCTGTTTATATTAGTCCCCAACTTTGGTAATGCCACCAAAATGGCTAATAGCTGCTCAAATGGAATGAGTGATAAATGATACTTTACAAGCTCTCAACCTTCATACTTTATTCAAATTTATTATAATGTTATTCTCCAAGATACTATGTCTGTAGTTAATGATTATTTTAGATATTCAATATTGTGAGACGTGTTCAATAAGCAACTCATTGGGACCAAAAACCGTAATGAACTCAAATTTAGGACTGCAAAAAGAGGAAAGAGCAAAAACAACTGTCAGCAGTAAGGGTGAAGCTGCAATTAACAATATTTTACATCATTTATTTTGCACGACGTGCCGTCATATTTTAATGGGGGTATCCCAAAACTTCTAGTACTCGCTTCGTTTCCTCACAGTCTTTGTTCATAAATTCTTCGAATAAATCTGCGATGTTTCAATTGCTGGTTCATATTCTTTCTAAATGTCGTAGACTGGCAGTCGAGTTGAATCTCTCTGCAGTTTTGAAGATAGCCGAGCTAAGGAATCCCCACGTTACTGCAAGGATGTCAGAGTGCAGAGTCCAAACAGCACTTTGCTTCGTGATAACCTCCATCGTTATCCTGATTCTTCTCATAAGTTTCGACAGTAGGCATGAAACACCAAATGATTAACCAGAAGTATACCCAGTGATGTAGAATGATGTGCAAAAACAGCCAACCGTCAACGATCTGGCGTGAGTACTCCCAATCGACCTTGAACTCACTGATGCTAACAGATATTGGGCATTGATGATCAGACAGGACTCTTTCTAGTTGACCGCCTTTAGCGATGGTATGATGGACGTCGGTAGTGCAACGGTTGAGCACGCGCACCCGGATAAGGTATCATGTGGGTTCGAATCCCAACTGACGGAGAAGTTTTTGCACATCACTCTACATCATTGGGTATATTGTAATTACACCACCGCTAAAAGCGTTCAGATAGAAAGAATTGTGTTTGAGAACCAAAAGTAATTAAAATTATTCAACAAACTACTCAAAGTACGCGCCATCAACGTGAACACAATTCTGCCATCTCTTAGGCAACAAATCAACACCGCCTTGCGCAGAATTTTCAGAGCTTTCTTTTTGCACCAAATCAGTCCATAGTTGCCGCATCCGCTCAACGAAGCCTTTATCGTAATTTGCTGCTTTATGAGTACAAATTGGAACGCGATGCACAGACCGCCTCTGGGAACGTCAACCGTTCAAAGGCTTGAGAATTTGTGTCCAGGCGAACAACGTTTTGGCTTTTTTTTTGCTAAGTTTCTTTTTTTCTCTTCATTCATTCATTGCCTAATTCATTTTTGATGGCGATTACGACGTGAAGTATACCAAGAGAATGCGGAGATACGAGCAAAGCTTAGATTCGTTTCATGGGCAATGAAAAAAATTAACACTATGATTCGACCGCAGCATAAACGTGAAAATCCTACTGATGATGAAGGGAGGGTAGAATCTCGTTGACGTAGTGCGAGAAAGCGTTGCCCCGGAAAGGTACAGTTGGAGCGACTTGATTGCATAATACATTATTTTCCAAAATTTGATTCCATTTCAGATTTCTTGTAGCTCCATTTCTTGTCTTGTTAGAAATTTCTTGTTCAGGTACGATAAAGACAGAGTATGCAAAGTCGTATTGTATTGGAGAGCAACAACACGTTCAGCAAGCGAAATTTTAGCATAGATTATTCCACTTTCATAATTTCAAGGTAAAAGAACATTTGCTAAAGAGTTAACAGCTTCAACGCAAAACAAAGGAGTGTTTCTATAAGAATGAAAAATCTTCCTAATAAATGAACGACGAGTAGACTAGCGATTTTTCAACTTTACTTGAATTCTTTTGTTTGGACAAAACTCTCGAGTACAGCTTCTCTGGCACTCAGAGACAAAAGTTGTCCAATAAATAAAAATAAATGCAGAATCTATAGCAGCGACATCTATCACCACTGAAAAATCCTATCGAATAAACACATTTGCTGATTTGGAACTTGCTAAGGTGCATTATTACAATTTCCTAGGAAAATAAAGACTAGTGGATTACAATTGTAAGCTTAGTTGTGGTAACATTGATTCAAGTAACTAATTTTATTTCTATAAGTGACCGCAAAAAATCAGAAGGTAAGGAAAGAAACATGAAGAGGAGTCCAGGAATTTTCTTGAGATAGATGTCGCTTTAGCTCAACAAAGTACAAACATTTATATAGAATGCGGTCAAAGCTTATTTAATCTAATACTATTATCACAGTGCAAAAAGTGGAAAAAACTCGAATATCTCTCACACTAGTTGACAAATGATACCGGGATTTTTGAGCGCGAAATCTCTTGAGTATCACGAAGAAAATTGTAATCAGCGTCTAAGAAATCAAACTTCAATCACAAAAGATCAGTTAAAAGAAAAAACATGCAAGTTGTTTGCTTGGGAACGAAAGAAAATATAGTGAAATTACGAGTGAAGGATCTCACAGAGAACAAAATCCAGAAAGGCTCCCCATTTTTGAAAAGAAAGCCATGTCTAAGCATTTTGAAGGAGGAGAAGAAGCAACTAGTGAAAAGAGATCAAGGTTTGATTGAACTCCCAAAATACCTCGTAAACTGTCAGCAAAGTGCGCTTTGGTTCATACAAAACGCATTTAGGGTGGAAACTACTAACTGGCATTCTATTTCTCAAACCACTAATGATCAGAACGTTCTTTGAGAAATCGTTATGACAGTTGAAACAGTGCTTCAATGATTATCTAAAATAAACCCTTGACAAAAAGAAGGACACTCGATCGGAAAAAATACCAACCTCGTGAAGCATAAATTAAAGAATAGTTCTCAAGTTATTCTCATTTTCACAAACCCCTGAGTGTGACTTCAGCCATCAGTGTCTTTTTTGGACTTCTTTTGGCGCCCTTTCACCAAGTACGTCAAGCCATCTCTCATCAACCACCTCCGTGTACGTTTACAGACTCTATGCTGATGCTTCACTTCCTTTTCTCATAGTCTGGTATTAATACTAGTTTGATTCGATTCGTTATGACAGCGAAGATCCTTATCGCGACAGTGACAGGATGTGAGACATTACCGGTGTTATCACTAGTACAACGATCTTCTTTTGATTTGCCTTCGTAGAAATTGCTCAGAGCGAAAGTTTAGTTTTATATGATTGCAATTATAGCTCCTGAATTAAGCCATTTTGCATTCAAAATGTTCTTCCTTAGCTTGAAACGAAATTTCGACGCATGTCTCGATGTAAAATTGCGAAAAATATGTAAAATAAGGATGGAGAACGAAAACTGGCAGGCTTACAGAAGTCAAATTGAATTACATTTAGAGTAAAGATAAAAATCAAGCATAGGTGCAGAGGAGTGAGATCACCTACTTTGCCATCGCTTTGGTTTATCCAATGCATTCAATGCTTGAGTGTAGTTGCGGAGATTTGCAGCACGGAATGCCTCGCCAATAACATCGTGAATAAGGTCACTTGCATTCTAAAAATCACTGCTATAGAACATTTCCAGACACCCTTAAGAAATTTTCCATCTTTCACAGTGGCATCTCCAGATTGAAAAATTTTTTCGTATAGTCTTCACAGATCAAGTCTAAGCCGAAGTTCTAAGCCGAAGCAAAGTGCATGAAATGCTTTCCTTGCTAATCGAATTTCAACATTCCTTGAGAGATAACGGTAGTTAAGCAATGTTTTTGACATCTTGAAGTTGGATTAGAGATTTTCTTGAGGTTTTAGGTAATTCACACCATCACGATAAAAGCTAAAGCTTGCTAAGATGGTTAAAATGATTTCAAGTTCTACAGAAAGCAATTTGCTTCTCTGAGGATTGCAGCGTCTCGTTGGACCATTTTTTGAAGCAGAGTACTGTGATGATTTACCTCTCTTAGAAACGCCATGAATTCCACTCCAATGATTGTAATAGAGGTAATCAAATACAAAATTGGCTCGGGTAATGATCTGCCGAGCTGTTTCTACCCCACCATCCAAGTTGGACACTATTTTGTCGAACCCGGTTGGATGGGATGTTTGTTGGAACAGTGCCACAGTGCTAAATCAATGACGATGTGTGTATTGCAAAGCACCACTGATCACAACCCGACAGTAAATAATATGAATAACGTTTTTCCTTGAATTTCTAAATGTAAAGAAGTGGAAGATTATATACAGATATTTTTTTGTTATAGGGGGACAAGTGAAAAACCGACGTCATTTGGTGGGCAGGAACTTTTCTAGGAGTGCTAGTGATCATTCGAATGCTGAGATTTCTGACTACAGCCCCACGGCATCGATTTTTCAAAATGCCCTTTTATGACCTGCAAAGCTCTAAATAAAAGTAGCCTTAGACGCGCATATTTCTCACTGAACAGAGATCTTTCTTTGGAGTACTAGCAATCACTCTACAGCGTAAAGTTAGATGATTTCAATGCTATGCGCATAGCCATGAAAAGAACGTTTCTCTGCAAAGCAGGTAAAATAATTTGAACTTGCATGTGCGTCCAAGGTGTCTTTGGCTAATCCACGTGCCGCTGGGTAAGGCGGCCATGAGCGCTGGGGCTATGACTGAGCGATCTTGAACCGGTCTCACGACAACGCGTCAGCGGCACGTGGATTAGCCAAACCACCCTAATGGCACATGCGAATTTAACTTATTTTACTTGCTGCGTTGCAGTGAAATGTTCTTCTTAGGATATAAGCACAGCATTGGAATCAGCAAACACTAAGCTATCAAGTGATTACTAATAGAACCAAAGAAAGATGTCTGTCCGGCGAGAAATATGTGTGTGTCTAACGCAACGAATTTTCTTTTATAGTAGGGTCAAATAAGCTTATTCGAAATTCAGTGACCTGAGGCTGTAGTCAGAAATATAAGCTTTCGAATGATTACTAGCACTCATATGAAAATTTTCTGTCTAGCGAATGAAACCGGTTTTTATTCGTTTCCTTATAACCGAAAAGTATCCATAATCGTTTAAGTTGGAAAAAAGACTCATTGAGATCAAAGTTTTTGGGCTGCAGTAGTATAGATTTTCTATTCATCCATATAATCATAAGCAAACATTCACATAATGGAAACGTTTACCACGTTGCATGCAAAGTCTTCTCATCAGGTGGAATGCCCTCATGGGAGAAAATTTCAGAAAAAAATCAAAGTCACCAATCGGAAGCTCACTCTACACTCTTTCATATGAGCTTTCGATATATTCATTTGATAAGACTTTTCAGATTCTATAATTGTTCTCTACCAAAATTAGAACAAATGAATGCATTGTTACCAAAGCTGGTCTCTGTTGAGAAAAACACGATGTTGTAAAAGAGACGAAAGACTCTCACAATTCATATAAGGAATAATGTTGAAGACATAGACACTTCATAATACTTCTGAGAAACCGAGAAAGTTTAGCCCTTTTGTAGGTTATGTATTCCGTAGATCAGCTGGAAAAAAAATTGATAGACAGGTTATTCTAATATTGCTACTAAATTAGAAGCTCCCCAATTGAACTCTAAATAGATTAAGGCACAAACGAAGTGAGCCTATTTTTTATTAAAAAAAATATTGATCGCTCCTATTTAGGCCGATTTTTTCGTAATTTTCAGAACGAACGAGATAGCAATCAGTAGGTCGTGTTATAGCTTCGAAAGCAAGGCTTTAATAAATACATCTAAAAAATCATGCAATAGAATGGATATTGACAGGCCGTTAATAATGGAACCAGTTGATATTTTATGATTACCTAGTGTATCTTACCAACGCAGTTTTGGATTTGTGGAACCGAATAGGTAAGAAGCACTTTTAATTCTAGCGTACTGAAGCGCTGCAGAATACATGCAAAGACTTTCTACAATTGATGAAATGCTTAACAGATTTAATAAAAATGAAAGAGT